ACGTAACATATCATGGGCTATCATCCAACACCATTCATGATGTCGCCACTTCCCTATATTCCATTACATTCCCCTATCACATGATATCACATGATATCACATTGGGGGGGGGCATCCCAGCTGTTTCTCCTGCCCCCCCCTTGTGTTTCATGGGCATTCCTGGGCTAGATCCTCCAAAAGGAAGGGGGAGGGGGGGGGAGAACAAAAATGTAACTTTGGACCTGCCAGGTCCTAGCTTACTTTTTTTTTGGGGGGTCCCCCCCCCCGCAACCAGGCATTTTTGATACCTTAGGGGGTTGTAAGTTACATTTTCTGCCCCCCCACCCCCCCCCAGAAAATGTAAGTTACATATAGGGGTCCCCCCCCCCGAAAAACCAAGGTTTAAGAGGGTGGGGATCCCTGACGTCCCCGACGTCCCTCACGTCGGTCGGGAGTTCGCTTGGAGCGCCGAAAAGTGACATAAGATTGCAAGTTACTTGACGAAGGTGTACCAGGAACGTCTTGCAAGTTACTTGAAGAAGATGTTACAACATACCAGGAACGTCTTGCAAGTTACTTGACGAAGATGTTACAACATACCAGGAACGTCTTGCAAGTTACTTGAAGAAGATGTTACAACATACCAGGAACGTCTTGCAAGTTACTTGACGAAGATGTTACAACATACCAGGAACGTCTTGCAAGTTACTTGACGAAGATGTTACAACATACCAGGAACGTCTTGCAAGTTACTTGACGAAGATGTTACAACATACCAGGAACGTCTTGCAAGTTACTTGACGAAGATGTTACAACATACCAGGATGTCTTGCAAGTTACTTGAAGAAGATGTTACAACATACCAAGAACGTCTTGCAAGTTACTTGACGAAGATGTTACAACATACCAGGAACGTCTTGCAAGTTACTTGACGAAGATGTTGCAACATACCAGGAACGTCTTGCAAGTTACTTGACGAAGATGTTACAACATACCAGGCACGTCTTGCAAGTTACTTGAAGAAGATGTTACAACATACCAGGAACGTCTTGCAAGTTACTTGACGAAGATGTTACAACATACCAGGAACGTCTTGCAAGTTACTTGACGAAGATGTTACAACATACCAGGAACGTCTTGCAAGTTACTTGAAGAAGATGTTACAACATACCAGGAACGTCTACAACATACCAGGAAACTTGCAAGTTACTTGACGAAGATGTTACAACATACCAGGAACGTCTTGCAAGTTACTTGACGAAGATGTTACAACATACCAGGAACGTCTTGCAAGTTACTTGACGAAGATGTTACAACATACCAGGAACGTCTTGCAAGTTACTTGACGAAGATGTTACAACATACCAGGAACGTCTTGCAAGTTACTTGACGAAGATGTTACAACATACCAGGAACGTCTTGCAAGTTACTTGACGAAGATGTTACAACATACCAGGAACGTCTTGCAAGTTACTTGACGAAGATGTTACAACATACCAGGAACGTCTTGCAAGTTACTTGACGAAGATGTTACAACATACCAGGAACGTCTTGCAAGTTACTTGACGAAGATGTTACAACATACCAGGAACGTCTTGCAAGTTACTTGACGAAGATGTTACAACATACCAGGAACGTCTTGCAAGTTACTTGACGAAGATGTTACAACATACCAGGAACGTCTTGCAAGTTACTTGACGAAGATGTTACAACATACCAGGAACGTCTTGCAAGTTACTTGACGAAGATGTTGCAACATACCAGGAACGTCTTGCAAGTTACTTGAAGAAGATGTTACAACATACCAGGAACGTCTTGCAAGTTACTTGACGAAGATGTTACAACATACCAGGAACGTCTTGCAAGTTACTTGACGAAGATGTTACAACATACCAGGAACGTCTTGCAAGTTACTTGACGAAGATGTTACAACATACCAGGAACGTCTTGCAAGTTACTTGACGAAGATGTTACAACATACCAGGAACATCTTGCAAGTTACTTGACGAAGATGTTACAACATACCAGGAACGTCTTGCAAGTTACTTGACGAAGATGTTACAACATACCAGGAACTTGCAAGTTACTTGACGAAGATGTTACAACATACCAGGAACGTCTTGCAAGTTACTTGACGAAGATGTTACAACATACCAGGAACGTCTTGCAAGTTACTTGACGAAGATGTTACAACATACCAGGAACGTCTTGCAAGTTACTTGACGAAGATGTTACAACATACCAGGAACGTCTTGCAAGTTACTTGACGAAGATGTTACAATATACCAGGAACGTCTTGCAAGTTACTTGACGAAGATGTTGCAGCATACCAGGAACGGCTTGCAAGTTACTTGACGAAGATGTTACAACATACCAGGAAAGTCTTGCAAATTACTTGACGAAGATTTTACAACATACCAGGAACGTCTTGCAAGTTACTTGACGAAGATGTTACAACATACCAGGAACGTCTTGCAAGTTACTTGACGAAGATGTTGCAACATACCAGGAACGTCTTGCAAGTTACTTGACGAAGATGTTACAACATACCAGGAACGTCTTGCAAATTACTTGACGAAGATGTTACAACATACCAGGAACGTCTTGCAAGTTACTTGACGAAGATGTTACAACATACCAGGAACGTCTTGCAACTTACTTGAAGAAGATGTTACAACATACCAGGAACGTCTTGCAAGTTACTTGACGAAGATGTTACAACGTACCAGGAACCTCTTGCAAGGTAATTGAAGAAGATGTTACAACGTACAAGGAACCTCTTGCAAGCTAATTGAAGAATGCAAGCTAATTGAAGAATGCAAGCTAATTGAAGAAGATGTTACAACGTATCACGTATCAGGAACGTCTTGCAAGTTACTTGAAGAAGCGTTTACAACGTATCAGGAACATCTGACAAGCTACTTGGAACAAGATGTGTCAAGGTAGCAGGATCGTCTTGCATGTTACTTGAAGAAGCTGTTCCAATGTATCACGTATCAGGAACGCCTTGCAAGTTGCTTGAAGAAGATGTTACAACGTATCACGTATCAGGAACGTCTTGCAAGTTACTTGACGAAGATGTTACAACGTGTTACAACGTAGGTTCTGGGGTGGGCCGTTTCGTTCCAGACCCTGTTCCATACCCGTTCCAGATCCAGAACACGCATGGCTACCGGTTGTGTCCTGGCTAGTTCCAGAAAGGTGCACGAATAAAGGTCTCGTTCCCTGGTGCTCTCATGTAATCCACCATGCTGGTCCCCTAAACCCAGCCCCGTGTCCCCACTTGTGCCCTTGTCGCAGCCCCGTGTCCCTGCTTGTCCCCTAAACCCACCCCATGTCCCAGCCCTCTGTCCCCAAGTCTTACCCCAAAGGTCTCATTCCACCATGCCGGTCCCCTAAACCCGCCCCATGTCCTAACCCCGTGTCCCCCCAATCCACCATGCTGGTCCCCTATAAACATTATAAACCCACCCCATGTCACAGCCCCGTGCCCCGACGTCTCATACGTCCCTGCCGTCCCTGTCCCTGCCGTCCATGCCTCATGTCTCTGACGTTCCTCACGTCCCTCACATCCCTGACATCGCCCACGTCCTCCACGTCCCTCACGTCCCTCACGTCCCTCAAGACCATGGTCTGACGTCCCTGACGTCCCTGACGTCCTCGACATCCTTCATCTCTCCACGTCTGCGTCCCTGAAGTCCCGCCGTCTGACTTTCATGTCCCTGACATCCCCAATGTGAGTTTGTCAGCTGTCGACCTGTGACACATAAGCAATTGCTATTGACAAGCCGTGAATTTGTAAGCTGTCGAACCTGGACAAGGAAGTTTAATCCCACTTATATTACTGCTGAGCCGTAAGTTTGTAAGCTGTCGAACTGTGACACATAAATAAGTCTTTTCCCAATCACTACTGACAAGCCGGGACTTTGCAAGCTGCCGAACTTTGACGCAGAGGTTGAATCCCACTGGTGTTAGACTGCGCTTGCCGTGGTTGTGAGCTGTCGCACATTCAAGCTGTGTAATCTTGCCGATCATAGTTTGGCAGATTTTGACTCTATTCCAGAAACATGTGTCTACAAGGGCAGAAGTAAGACATGAAGACGTCGAACGTTTTTGAGTGCCAAGTCTGCAGGATGTCAGTTCTGAGATAAGATGTTGTGTGCATGCACTGTCTCACGTGATTTAACCATGTACCACAGAGAACGCTTGAAGACGTCTCCGCCCCAATTCCTGACGTCCTCCACGTCCCTCGCCCTCACGTCCCTCACGTCCCTCACGTCCCTCACGTCCCTCACTTCCTCCACGTCCCTCACCCTCACGTCCCTCACGTCCCTCACGTCCCTCACGTCCCTCACGTCCCTCACGTCCTCCACGTCCCTCACGTCCTCCACGTCCCTCACCCTCACGTCTCCGACGTCTCCGACGTCCACGTCCCCGACGTCCGCGGCCACAGGAGAGTTAATAATCTCACATTGTGCGTGCTGGGGAAAGAAAAGTCCGGGCGGGCGGTGGGTTTGCAATTGGGTTGCGGGAAGCTGAAATCATTCAATAATGATGCCAATTCAGTTATGTTTTCTAGATTAAACAATGACAGTAAATTGATTCCCTCATAATATGTATTGTTTGATCAGCATTTAACTCAAATCAATCCGAAACCCTTACTTTTATCAAACAACCTTGTCGTATACCAAAAAAAGACTAAAAACCAACAAACAAACTAAAAACGGAAAAATGCTTTAAACGCTAAACACCACTAAAGCGCAAAAACGCGGCACATTAATACGCAAGTAGCAATCACTAGAATCACAATGTGGATATTTTTCTGTTTTTCAACATTTTTGGCTCCTAGCTCCTAGTTAACAAGGGGCCAGGCAATCAACCACGCGGAAACCTAACACGCTTCATTGTTCATCACACTCCCATCTTGCAAATCTGTGCCTCTAACAATGAAATCCCCACATTGCAAGTTGAATTGGATAAAATTCCCATCTACCGTGCCCCCACATGCTATGCTATCCAGCTGCTGGTGGTGCTGGTGGTGGTGGTGGTGGTGATGGTGGTGGTGGTGGTCGTGGTTGGCCCAGCTGTGGTTGTGGTCGTGGTTGGCTCAGCCGTGGTTGTGGTCGTGGTTGGCCCAGCCGTGGTTGTGGTCGTGGTCGACGTTGTTGAGGCTGGTGGGCAGAGGCGGAAATCTTTGAGACCACCTGTGCAAGGCGACCCAACGTTGACCTTTGAAAACCTCGAAATCTCCAACCCAAAACACAAACTGGAACAAACTGCAACCCCATAATCTAAGCTGATGCGTTTTGAAACTGCAAACGCAAGGCTTGAAATTAAGGGTCAAAAGTCAAAATCTCAACTACATCAAACATCATCAAACTACGAATTTGCAGCGGAAGATTGAGGCAGTTGGATACTAGTTGGAGTTGGACTAGTCAGCTAGTACCTTGACATCAGCCAGGCGGGTTTGGAAGGTTTCGGGCCACGCCTGATCCGCCATAGGTGATGGTAATGAACTTCACGTTGTTCGGAGGAAGGTTGGTGTTTCCGGAAATGTCCACAGTAATGCTCTTGTTGTCGCCAGAGACAGGAATGTTGACCTCTTCGGAAGTGCCATCCGCATCCTCCCACTTGAACTTGGAGTTTTCACCTGGTTGCTGGTTTTGCTCCCTCTCTGATAGATTTTTGAGTTCATCAAACTTTCGGAGGAAAGAAAACATCAGTGGCTTTGGCTCAAACGTACTAACCATCAACAAATGATGAACAACTACACAATTATATTTGTCGGTCAAAACTGGCACCCTTAGTACCCCAATGTACCCCATGATACCCCATGTTTTTAGTATGTTTGAGCAAAACCCATCTAAAACCATCAGCCAGTCGCCATCCTCATTGTCAAAAAATGTGAATTGGAGGACTGGCTGCGGCGGATCTAGCCTCAAAGTGATGGTGGATCCGCCTGGCGAACACAAAAGGTCTGAGCAGTGTCTGGTCGACTACGAGATTGCAAGGATATATCTGTAGGCATACCTTCTTGTACCTCACCGACCACGTATGCTTATCTGCAACGGAAACTTGTTCCAAGTACAGTGGTGATGGAAAGTAGGTTTGAAATATATTGAAACCACCCACCAGATTATCAAGGGGGCGTTTTGCAAACAAGTCTTGGAAATCACATTAAAGAAACACTTGTTTCTTAAGCAAGCACTGGAATTCCATGTTTCTTGCAAATAAGCTCATGGAGCGGCCCAATTGCATCTGAAAACCGGAACATTCGCATCTTGCAGACTGTCCCACAGTGCCATGGCGGCCGCACGATACAGAAATGTAATGAAATATTCCTGCACCTATTCACATTCAACTTGTTGGGCCGGGTTGTACGGATCACAGAATTTGATAGAATTTGAGACACTGTTCTGGGCATCTATGGGCTATTGCTGGAACATGCTGGAACCCCCAAGTAGAAAGATACACACAAAGATATTACAATATATATATACTATATATTTGTAAAAAATAAAAAATAAAAAATAAAAAATAAATAAGTCAACAAGTAAACAAGTTCGTATATTTGAAAATCCGTATATTTAAATGTAGTTACCGTATATATAATATATAAATGTAAAAACTTTGGAAAATACATTGGAATTATTAATATGGCGATGGGCCCAAAAACGTTTGTAAACTGTCAGAAATTTGGATAAGAAACCCAAAAAATGGCATCCTTCATCAAGATCACAAAATCAATGCCGGCATTCTAAGTCTACATTGCTAGAAGGCATCCCCCTGAAAATACCCAATCAAAACACGCCAAAACCATGATGGAAGTAAAATCTTCTGATCAAACTTAGATGTGGTCATATTTCAATAGATCGATGAAACCTGACGAAGAACCAACACCCCGAAAAAACGCAAAATATGTCCAAAATGCCGGTAAAACTTGAAAAATAACATCCGTTGTTGGTGAAAATCACAAGATAGATGCCGGCATTCTAAGTTTACATTACTAGAACGCGGCGACCTGACAATTCCCACTCAAAACCATGATAGAAGGACAATTATATGATAAACAATTCGGTGGGCACGCATTCTAAGATCTCCATTGCTAAGATGCCTCGACTAAAAAAACGGGGCAAAAAAAGTGCAGGACCCCAATTTTTGGCATTTCCCCGACTTTTTTTTGCAGCGCGCCGTTTCCAAAATCACATTCTAAGTTTCAGTGCGTCGCTATATAACGCAATTAAAATATTGCCAAAAATTGGATTTCGAAGCTTCCCCCTAATACTAAATTAAAACCCTTAATAATAAAAACTATTTTTTCCGATTTCAAAATCAATTAAATTTCCTTATATAACGCATTTAAAATATTGCCAAAAATTGGATTTTGGAGCTTCCCCCCAATACTAAATTAAAACCCTTAATAATAAAAACTAGTTTTTCCGATTTCAAAATCAATTAAATTTCCTTATATAACGCAATTAAAATATTGCCAAAAATTGGATTTCGGAGCTCCCCCCTAATAATAAACACCCCGGGGTTGACTATAGTTTTTAGTATTAGGGGCGAAAACTTACAAATGGTAGGTTGATTTTTAAATTGTTTTCTAAAGATTCTAAAGGGGATCAATTAAAAGTCAAATTGGCCAATCTGAAATTTTCAAAAATTAGAGATGGACCCTAGTTTTTAGTATTAGGGCGGGGTTTAGTAATAGGAGGAAGGGATTAGCTACTGTCAAGATCTCATATGCTAGGCATACGTGCTAGCCACTTGCTGCCTATACAGTACCTACATGATATATACCTTTTTTATACCCCTGTGCTTTCTGGGGGTGAAGATGTGCCAGACAATCTGTAGCTATAAGCCCTCAAGCATACCGCTTTAAAACGAGGTGCACGACTATGTTAAAATAGCCAACATAATTTCAACATCCGAGCACAGGTGGAACACAAGTACTCCCATAGGATAACAGGACAGGCAGTACAAAATGCAGTAGCACAACAACCAGCTTTTTTCTGTAATACTTCCGCTATAAAATGTAGAGCCTATAGAATTGTTAGCACAACCCTCATATAGGTGGGTAGGCACCCTATAGAATTGTTGGCATAACTCTTATATAGGTGGCGTATGCTCACTATAGAATTGTTTCACAGGGATCCCCTATAAAAAGCCGAGCACGAGAACACTTTTCTATATTTAAACACCCCTATGCCAACCGTTTTAAGGCAAGCACAAGTTCACCCTTTTTATAGTGGAAATTCAAACAGGGATCCTTTTTTACCCACCATCCATCCCACGGGAAGCCGCGGGCATCAAATGCTATACCTACATACTGGCACTGTACTACCTAAACACATATTCCATATTAGTCCATCATATTCCACTTAAACTGGCACTTGCTGTGAGATCCGGGTCGGTTGGTGCCCACAATGGCGACGAGCTGACAGAAGGAGGAAGCGAGGAAGAGTGACGGAGAAGGAGGCCGCGGAGGGAGCTGAGGAGTTGCTCCTTTGCTAAAATCTAGAGACCCCACCTGGCAGGTGGGGAAAAATCGCCATTTGAGTTGCTTTTTTTCTCCTTGCTAAACTGCGATACACAAATTAGGACACCTACGCGGGGCCTACGCAAACCACTCCTCCCATGCAAAACTACCTACGCGAGTCGCGAGGGTTACCTTTCAAGAAGTGCCTACTGTACGTGGTTGCCTCCGCGAAAGTTGCTGCAACGATCTCTTTACTTGACGTGATGTGGTCACAATTCTGGTTCAGAAGAGGAATAGAAAGAATTGGAAGATGACGATTCGTGGGGTGACTTGTGAAAGGAAGGCGGAAGCCTACGCATGAATGATGTGAGTTCTTCCTCAATATTCCTCAATCTAAATCTAAATTCCATCATCTGGAAAAAAAACGTTGCTCATGTCCTCCTCCAAGAAAAAATGGGGACAACACGGGTGACTGCATGTTTCAGAGGAAGTTGCAAGAGGGATACATAATCCAATCATAATCCAATCATAATCCAATATTTTCCAGAACACTCAGAGTCACAAATACACGGAAGAAGCACCTGCCCCGCAATCATCGATCTTGATGTTGTCGGGGTCAGTCAGCAGGCTTTGGTCTTCCACAACCACCAGCAAGTTGCAGCCACCACCCGGAATGGTATTGTCTGTGCAGCCCAGCAAATCCTGGCACTCGAACTACGGGGCACATCTCGCCCATCTGGGGGATTCATTTTGAGATGCAGAAACAACCTGAGGATGCCTGAGGGTTGTGTTGAAACTCTGGGGGTTGTGTCTAGGACGCCCCAAATCGGTGGTCTTGTCAAAATAAGTGTTAATTGCCAAAATGGATCAAAATGGATCAAAATGGTAATGGTGACAATGGAATACAATGGAAGCTGATTCGCCCACAAAAAAACGTTTCCAACTGAAGCTGCTTCATGCTGCTTCACCATGTTTCACCCGCTTGCCACTATGGCCACTATGGCCACTATGGATCCTGGCCAGGCGGCAGCAGTTCAGCTCAGCCGAGAGTCGTCATCATCTCGGTTTGTCTGTCTGGTCCAAATGCCGGCACCTTCGCAGGACGCGTCCCCAGGCGTAAAGCTATCCTGAGCCACGGGACAAGACATTGGAAATCATTGGAACTGCTTGGGAGTCCGGTGGAATGCGGGAAGTCTTTGCTCATAAGGAACCAGAATTCCATTGAAAAATGGACAATGAACAGATGAACAGCAAAAGATCAGTTTGGAGGATTGTTTTTTGATTAAGAATGTCAATTTGAAAGTTCCAAGTTTGGTTTCCTAGGTGCGAAAATGAAGGAATGGGGGTAAGCCAGTGCGAAAGGAAAGGGCATACCCCAGAACTAAGCGCAACTTGTTCTCCTGTGGATACAGCAATGGATCGGGAAAAGACTTGAGAAAGAATGAAGTTGCGCCATGCGCCCATAGATCTTGAACAGGGTTTAGCAACTGCGATTTCCACAGCTGCATGATTGCAGTTGAATCAGTTTGTTTTGCAATATGGCCGCCAAGACCCAAAAAGGATGCCAAGAATCCAAGTAAATACCTTTGCCCATCACAATTTCCTCGTCAATTGACAGTTTCCTGGCCAACAGGCGAGCACAGGCACTGGGCATCACTGGCCACAACCCCCAATTTGACAGACTCCGGGACCCTAAGGGCGCACCTTCCCACACCTGGATAGAAGTTGAAGTCTTGGAATGAGGATGGGTCAAAGGGGCACTGGACCTGAGCCATTGCAGAGTACGAATGCGGAATGATCTCCATGCCT